TCTCTCATACATTATCCCTCTCCTCTCCACTCCCGCCTGTGCCTGAATATTTCTGATTTTGCTTCTTATTTGTCTCATTGTGAATTCACATTCAATGTCAACTTGTGGTTTTGATGTGGCACGTTTGGCCAAGTCATCCGCCACCTCGTTGAGCACTATTCCAACATGAGATGGAATCCACATGAATTTCACACTATGACCTTTCAGCTGTATCTCAGTTATTCTTTTCTTACAGTCCTCCACTATAGACATGAAGACTGGGTTTCGACTGTTTAAGGACTCCAGTGCTCCTCGGCTATCGACAAATACAAAAACATTTTTGTCGTCATGACGTACTTCCTCCAAACACGCCAGAATGGCCTGCAGTTCAGCTTGTGTGGATGATATATAATTACTAAGCCGGAGTTCAATTATCCTGTCCACAGTCCCAAACTCCGTATAATCCCTTATTAGGACACCACACCCTGCCCTGCCATCCTCCACCACCGACCCGTCGCAATATACATGTAAACTGTTGCCTCTTGGTAACGGAGATATCATGCTTCCATACAAACACCGTAATTGTCCCGGTTCATGATGAATCTTTTTCGCCTTGAGGGGTACAATTTCGACGTCTATTTTCTGTACTTTCCAGGGAGCAGACATATTACACTGTCGAGAGGGTTTACAGCAGTCAAGTACATCGTATTCCCTGAGGTCATGAGCTAATCCCCTCGTGTAGCGTGTCTCTCTCAGTTTCCTGGAAGTGTGTACGTCACTCAAGCAGGTCTGAACGCTCTCAAACAGCTTATCCCCTCCTTTTCTCCGCATGCAACGAATAGCTACTCTAGTGTTAATGTCACGGACTCTATTACACACACTCTGTAAATTTAATTCCATTCTCATTATTTCAATCATTGCATTTCTTTGACATCCAAGAATAATCCTCATAGCCTCGTTCTGTATCAGCTCTATTTTTTTGAATTCTGCCTTGGCCTGTGTAAGACAATACGGGTGCTGCGTAGTCTATCAGGGACCGAACAGTCTCCGTGGTGTAGTGGTAAGACACTCGCCTGGCGTTCCGCGAGCGCTTTGTCATGGGTTCGTATCCTGGCCGGGGAGGATATCCTGGGCGCAAATCCTTAACTGTAGCCTCTGTTTAACTCAACAGTAAAATGTGTACTTGGTTGTAACAAGGATTCTTCGCGGCGGGGATCGTATTCCAGGGACCTGCCCGAAACGCTACGCGTACTAGTGGCTCTACAAGAATGCAACAACTCTTGTTAAAAAAAAAAAAAAAAACCAGTGCTTATGTATAAGACCCGCAAGATAGGTACCCCAACACCTGCACCAGAAAAAGCCTGGATCATAGATGGCGCCGAGGTCCGTCACCCGTAACATCTGTGACTTTACAACAGTGTGACGTCTGTCAGGCCCAAGTAGGCTGCTAGACGCTTGGGGCCTCACACAACTTTGCAAGATGATACAAGGGAAGGTTGGGAGTGTAATAGGTCAGTCCAAGTTGGCTTCAGCGATGGTCTTTAAGGAATATATATAGTCATAACATGTGATATTCATAAAGTCTGAAATCGTGTGTGAGGATTGTGCATAGTTAGCAGTTGTTGAGAGCTTTGCAATGTTAATATAAATTTTTATGAGAGAAAGAGGGTAGAGGGGAGGAGTGGGAAAGAGGGAGAGAGGGAAGGTTAAAAAGGGGGAGAAGGGTAGACAAGGGAAGAGAATGAGAAGAAAGGGGGGGGGGGGAGGAGAGATGGATGTTGGAGAAGAGGAGAGAAGGTTGGAGAGAGAAAGTGAGGCGGGAGAGAGGAAACTTTACTACAGCAGGAGAGGGGGAGGGGAGACTAGGAGAGAGAGAGAGAGAGGAGGGAAAGGGAAAAGGAAGCAGGGGGAGGGACGGACGGGGGAGAAGAAGAAGGGAGGTGGAGGGGGGAGAGAGACCCGGGCGCAGCCGGGTTACCCATCTAGTAAATGATAACATTGATATACATAGTTGGCCAAATAATAATAACCACAATAACAATACTAAACAAACAGTGTAACCACAATGTTTACATCACAGGTGTTCATAGTGGTGTGAGGGGAGTAATTAGCAGGAGCACCGCGGGCACTGTTACTCCTGGCCTGTGGCATCAGGGAATAGTATGTGCTGGAGTGGCGGTAGGCAAGTGTGAGGACACGTGGGAAGTGTGAGGACACGTGGGAAGTGTGAGGATATGTGGGACGTGTGAGGACACGTGGGAAGTGTGAGGATATGTGGGACGTGTGAGGACACGTGGGAAGTGTGAGGACACGTGGGACGTGTGAGGATATGTGGGACGTGTGAGGACACGTGGGAAGTGTGAGGACACGTGGGACGTGTGAGGATATGTGGGACGTGTGAGGATATGTGGGACGTGTGAGGATATGTGGGAAGTGTGAGGACACGTGAGAAGTGTGAGGACACGTGAGAAGTGTGAGGATATGTGGGACGTGTGAGGATATGTGGGAAGTGTGAGGACACGTGAGAAGTGTGAGGACACGTGAGAAGTGTGAGGATATGTGGGACGTGTGAGGATATGTGGGACGTGTGAGGATATGTGGGAAGTGTGAGGATATGTGGCAAGTGTGAGGATATGTGGGACGTGTGAGGATATGTGGGACGTGTGAGGATATGTGGGACGTGTGAGGATATGTGGGACGTGTGAGGATATGTGGGAAGTGTGAGGACACGTGAGAAGTGTGAGGACACGTGAGAAGTGTGAGGATATGTGGGACGTGTGAGGATATGTGGGAAGTGTGAGGATATGTGGGACGTGTGAGGATATGTGGCAAGTGTGAGGACACGTGAGAAGTGTGAGGACACGTGAGAAGTGTGAGGATATGTGGGACGTGTGAGGATATGTGGGAAGTGTGAGGACACGTGAGAAGTGTGAGGACACGTGAGAAGTGTGAGGATATGTGGGACGTGTGAGGATATGTGGGACGTGTGAGGATATGTGGGAAGTGTGAGGATATGTGGCAAGTGTGAGGATATGTGGGACGTGTGAGGATATGTGGGACGTGTGAGGATATGTGGGACGTGTGAGGATATGTGGGAAGTGTGAGGATATGTGGGACGTGTGAGGATATGTGGGACGTGTGAGGACACGTGAGAAGTGTGAGGATATGTGGGACGTGTGAGGATATGTGGGAAGTGTGAGGATATGTGGGACGTGTGAGGATATGTGGGAAGTGTGAGGATATGTGGGACGTGTGAGGATATGTGGGACGTGTGAGGATATGTGGGAAGTGTGAGGATATGTGGGAAGTGTGAGGATATGTGGGAAGTGTGAGGATATGTGGGACGTGTGAGGATATGTGGGACGTGTGAGGATATGTGGGAAGTGTGAGGATATGTGGGACGTGTGAGGATATGTGGGAAGTGTGAGGATATGTGGGAAGTGTGAGGATATGTGGGACGTGTGAGGATATGTGGGACGTGTGAGGATATGTGGGAAGTGTGAGGATATGTGGGACGTGTGAGGATATGTGGGACGTGTGAGGATATGTGGGACGTGTGAGGATATGTGGGAAGTGTGAGGATATGTGGGACGTGTGAGGATATGTGGGACGTGTGAGGATAAGTGGGAAGTGTGAGGATATGTGGGACGTGTGAGGATATGTGGGACGTGTGAGGATATGTGGGACGTGTGAGGATATGTGGGACGTGTGAGGATATGTGGGAAGTGTGAGGACACGTGAGAAGTGTGAGGACACGTGAGAAGTGTGAGGACACGTGAGAAGTGTGAGGACACGTGAGAAGTGTGAGGACACGTGAGAAGTGTGAGGACACGTGAGAAGTGTGAGGACACGTGAGAAGTGTGAGGACACGTGAGAAGTGTGAGGATACGTGGGAAGTGTGAGGACACGTGAGAAGTGTGAGGACACGTGAGAAGTGTGAGGATACGTGAGAAGTGTGAGGATATGTGGGAAGTGTGAGGATATGTGGGACGTGTGAGGATATGTGGGAAGTGTGAGGACACGTGAGAAGTGTGAGGACACGTGAGAAGTGTGAGGACACGTGAGAAGTGTGAGGACACGTGAGAAGTGTGAGGACACGTGAGAAGTGTGAGGACACGTGAGAAGTGTGAGGACACGTGGGAAGTGTGAGGACACGTGAGAGAGAAGTGTGAGGACAGGTGAGAGAGAAGTGTGAGGACACGTGGGAAGTGTGAGGACACGTGAGAGAGAAGTGTGAGGACAGGTGAGAGAGAAGTGTGAGGACACGTGAGAGAGAAGTGTGAGGACACGTGGGAAGTGTGAGGACACGTGAGAGAGAAGTGTGAGGACACGTGAGAGAGAAGTGTGAGGACAGGTGAGAGAGAAGTGTGAGGACAGGTGAGAGAGAAGTGTGAGGACAGGTGAGAGAGAAGTGTGAGGACAGGTGAGAGAGAAGTGTGAGGACACGTAGTGTGAGAGAGATGACAACTCCCCACAGTCTCGGGCCTGACAGCTGACCAAGCCATCACTGGAGGGTGACAGCAATCAGCTGATTCCGTGTCGTCTGCTCACCTTGTCTTGCCCTAAGCTGTTATCCTCTATGTTTTCGTCTCCTCTTGTTACATATCTCAATATCAAATTATATTCGCGTCATTCTTGATGTACTGTCTGTTTACGGTGTTTATTTCTGTATTACATACAAGATATAAAGGCCGTGTTATGTGGGAAAAATATTGGAAAAATAAACTGGGTACGAGTGGGCGTCACCCTTGCGTCTGCGCCAATAGGCACGGGAGATGTGTTCTCAGCATTGGATTTATCTTTTTAATTGTTATTAACTGCTTCTATTAATATTGACGTATTTAATGCAAGGGAAATGTATAAATTATATGAATATTGTTTCAGAATCTTTTTAATTTGTGGTGAGAGTGAGAGGAGGGTGAGAATAAGGTGGAAGAGTGTGTTTGGTGGCGGCGTGTTGCAAGGGGCAGAGATGCTCTTCCCGCGAGCTGGCTCTCGCCCTCGCTAATGTTTACAGTGTCCGTGTGTCGTCTGAAGGGTAGGGAGGTGCTCGCGCGCCCGGGTGTCAACCCAAGTGTAATGTGGAAATATCACTCGCATACGGCAAAAATGTGATGCCCTCGTATGTATTTGGTGTTCACCTAATAATTAGTTCTTGTCAGAGTCAGCTTACTGACATCTTGACAACTAAAGTGTGTACTCGTATTTAGTGGGAAACCAAATAAGAAATCGTCAAGATGGCCGACCTGGAGGCGGTGCTGGCTGATGTGAGTTATTTGATGGCTATGGAGAAGAGTAAGTCTACTCCAGCCGCCAGAGCCAGCAAGAAGATTGTCCTGCCAGATCCCAGGTAGGTACCGGGCGTCTCTAAGACGAGGAGGGTAGTGGAGGAGCGGGGCTGGAGGCCACATACCTGGAGAGGTGAGTGGAGGAAGGCGGTGGTGGGGCAGGCAGGGAGGACATCAACCTCCCTCACCCTACCTCCTCCTTACCCTCCACCCCTCACACTGCCCTCACACTCATCACCCTACCTCGCTACACACTATGGGCCTGGCTCCTGTGGTGGCCGCCAGGGTGAAGGGTGATGGTGAGTGATGGTGCACACCAGAGATCACTATAGTGGGGTTCCCCCGTTGATATCACTCACCTTAAGCAGTCATGAACCACAACCAGCCCCCTTGACCCCGGCACCTACGGCCAGACTTGACCCCAGCACCTACGGCCAGACTTGACCCCAGCACCTACGGCCAGACTTGACCCCTTGACCCCAGCACCTACGGCCAGACTTGACCCCGGCACCTACGGCCAGACTTGACCCCGGCACCTACGGCCAGACTTGACCCCAGCACCTACGGCCAGACTTGACCCCAGCACCTACGGCCAGACTTGACCCCAGCACCTACGGCCAGACTTGACCCCGGCACCTACGGCCAGACTTGACCCCGGCACCTACGGCCAGACTTGACCCCGGCACCTACGGCCAGACTTGACCCCGGCACCTACGGCCAGACTTGACCCCGGCACCTACGGCCAGACTTGACCCCGGCACCTACGGCCAGACTTGACCCCGGCACCTACGGCCAGACTTGACCCCGGCACCTACGGCCAGACTTGACCCCGGCACCTACGGCCAGACTTGACCCCGGCACCTACGGCCAGACTTGACCCCGGCACCTACGGCCAGACTTGACCCCGGCACCTACGGCCAGACTTGACCCCCGCACCTACGGCCAGACTTGACCCCGGCACCTACGGCCAGACTTGACCCCAGCACCTACGGCCAGACTTGACCCCGGCACCTACGGCCAGACTTGACTCTCAGCACCTACGGCCAGACTTGACTCTCAGCACCTACGGCCAGACTTGACCCCGGGAACGTACCCTTTGACCCCACCCCAGGAACCTAACCTTTGACCCCACCCCAGGAACGTAACCTTTGACCCCACCCCAGGAACGAAGCCTTTGACCCCACCCCAGGAACGTAACCTTTGACCCCACCCCAGGAACGAAGTCTTTGACCCCACCCCAGGAACGTGCCCTATGACCCCACCCCAGGAACGTGCCCTATGACCCCACCCCAGGAACGTGCCCTTTGACCCCACCCCAGGAACGTGCCCTTTGACCCCACCCCAGGAACGTGCCCTTTGACCCCACCCCAGGAACGTGCCCTTTGACCCCACCCCAGGAACGTGCCCTTTGACCCCACCCCAGGAACGTGCCCTTTGACCCCACCCCAGGAACGTGCCCTTTGACCCCACCCCAGGAACGTGCCCTTTGACCCCACCCCAGGAACGTGCCCTTTGACCCCACCCCAGGAACGTGCCCTTTGACCCCACCCCAGGAACGTGCCCTTTGACCCCACCCCAGGAACGTGCCCTTTGACCCCACCCCAGGAACGTGCCCTTTGACCCCACCCCAGGAACGTGCCCTTTGACCCCACCCCAGGAACGTGCCCTTTGACCCCACCCCAGGAACGTGCCCTTTGACCCCACCCCAGGAACGTGCCCTTTGACCCCACCCCAGGAACGTGCCCTTTGACCCCACCCCAGGAACGTGCCCTTTGACCCCACCCCAGGAACGTGCCCTTTGACCCCACCCCAGGAACGTAACCTATGACCCCACCCCAGGAACGTAACCTTTGACCCCACCCCAGGAACGTGCCCTTTGACCCCACCCCAGGAACGTGCCCTTTGACCCCACCCCAGGAACGTGCCCTTTGACCCCACCCCAGGAACGTGCCCTTTGACCCCACCCCAGGAACGTAACCTTTGACCCCACCCCAGGAACGTGCCCTTTGACCCCACCCCAGGAACGTGCCCTTTGACCCCACCCCAGGAACGTGCCCTTTGACCCCACCCCAGGAACGTGACCTTTGACCTTACCCCAGGAACGTGACCTTTGACCCCACCCCAGGAACGTGTCCTTTGACCCCACCCCAGGAACGTGTCCTTTGACCCCACCCCAGGAACGTGTCCTTTGACCCCACCCCAGGAACGTGCCCTTTGACCCCACCCCAGGAACGTGCCCTTTGACCCCACCCCAAGAACGTGCCCTTTGACCCCACCCAGGAATGTGTCCTTTGACCCCACCCCAAGAACGTGCCCTTTGACCCCACCCCTGGAACGTAACCTGTGACCCCACCCCAGGAACGTGCCCTTTGACCCCACCCCAGGAACGTGCCCTTTGACCCCACCCCAGGAACGTGCCCTTTAATCCCACCCCAGGAACGTAACCTATGACCCCACCCCAGGAACGTAACCTATGACCCCACCCCAGGAACGTGCCCTTTGATCCCACCCCAGGAACGTGCCCTTTGACCCCACCCCAGGAACGTGCCCTTTGATCCCACCCCAGGAACGTAACCTATGACCCCACCCCAGGAACGTAACCTATGACCCCACCCCAGGAACGTAACCTATGACCCCACCCCAGGAACGTGCCCTTTGATCCCACCCCAGGAACGTAACCTATGACCCCACCCCAGGAACGTAACCTATGACCCCACCCCAGGAACGTGCCCTTTGATCCCACCCCAGGAACGTGCCCTTTGATCCCACCCCAGGAACGTGCCCTTTGATCCCACCCCAGGAACGTAACTTTTAACCCCACCCCAGGAACGTGCCCTTTGATCCACCCCAGGAACGTAACCTTTAACCCCACCCCAGGAACGTGCCCTTTGATCCCACCCCAGGAACGTGCCCTTTGATCCACCCCAGGAACGTAACCTTTAACCCCACCCCAGGAACGTGCCCTTTGATCCCACCCCAGGTACATGCCCTTTGATCCCACCCCAGGAACGTGCCCTTTGATCCCACCCCAGGAACGTAACCTTTGACCCCACCCCAGGAACGTTACCTATGACCCCACCCCAGGAACGTAACCTATGACCCCACCCCAGGAACGTGCCCTTTGACCCCACCCCAGGAACGTAACCTTTAACCCCACCCCAGGAACGTGCCCTTTGACCCCACCCCAGGAACGTGCCCTTTGATCCCACCCCAGGAACGTAATCTTTGACCCCACCCCAGGAACGTAACCTATGACCCCACCCCAGGAACGTGCCCTTTGAGCCCACCCCAGGAACGTGCCCTTTGATCCCACCCCAGGTTCGTGCCCTTTGACCCCACCCCAGGAACGTGCCCTTTGACCCCACCCCAGGAACGTGCCCTTTGACCCCACCCCAGGAACGTGCCCTTTGACCCCACCCCAGGAACGTGCCCTTTGAACCCACCCCAAGAACGTAACCTTTGACCCCACCCCAAGAACGTGCCCTTTGACCCCACCCCAGGAACGTGCCCTTTGATCCCACCCCAGGAACGTGCCCTTTGACCCCACCCCAGGAACGTGCCCTTTGATCCCACCCCAGGAACGTGCCCTCTGATCCCACCCCAGGAACGTGCCCTTTGATCCCACCCCAGGAACGTGCCCTTTGATCCCACCCCAGGAACGTGCCCTTTGATCCCACCCCAGGAACGTGCCCTTTGATCCCACCCCAGGAACGTAACCTTTGACCTTGGAACATTCACGAGGTAATTAGAGAATGGTGGTTGTTAAGGAGTGTTGTTAAGGCCTTGTTACTCCATTAATGTTTCACCAGCGTGTAATGAACTAATTATCTTTATTAGATACAATGAATTAAGGATTTGTACCGAGAGGGAAATTTTTTGGCCAATTAAATAGTTTAACCTGAAATGTTTGTTGACGTTCCTCGTCGAGTAATTAATGTGTGGAATATAAAGTTGTTGGCCGTCTGGGAGGACCAACCAGGGTATTGGGCAGTTGGAGGAGGAGGGTCGTTAGCCTGTGGGTGACATTGTGGTGATGACACCAGGTCTGTGTGGGTATGGTGATGACACCAGGCCTGTGTGGGTATAGTGATGACACCAGGCCTATGTTGGTATAATGATGACACCAGGTCTATGTGGGTATAATGATGACACTCTTCGTGGGTATAATGATGTCACCAGGTCTATGTTGGTATAATGATGACGCTCTTCGTGGGTATAATGATGACACCAGGTCTATGTGGGTATAGTGATGACACCAGGTCTGTGTGGGTATAGTGATGACACCAGGTCTGTGTGGGTATGGTGATGACACCAGGTCTATGTGGGTATGGTGATGACACCAGGTCTGTGTGTATGGTGATGACACCAGGTCTGTGTGGGTATAGTGATGACACCAGGTCTGTGTGGGTATGGTGATGACACCAGGTCTGTGTGGGTATAGTGATGACACCAGGTCTGTGTGGGTATGGTGATGACACCAGGTCTGTGTGGGTATGGTGATGACACCAGGTCTGTGTGGGTATGGTGATGACACCAGGTCTGTGTGGGTATGGTGATGACACCAGGTCTGTGTGTATGGTGATGACACCAGGTCTGTGTGGGTATGGTGATGACACCAGGTCTGTGTGGGTATGGTGATGACACCAGGTCTGTGTGGGTATAGTGATGACACCAGGTCTGTGTGGGTATGGTGATGACACCAGGTCTGTGTGTATGGTGATGACACCAGGTCTGTGTGAGTATGGTGATGACACCAGGTCTGTGTGGGTATGGTGATGACACCAGGTCTGTGTGGGTATAGTGATGACACCAGGTCTTTGTGGGTATGGTGATGACACCAGGTCTATGTGGGTATGGTGATGACACCAGGTCTGTGTGGGTATGGTGATGACACCAGGTCTATGTGGGTATGGTGATGACACCAGGTCTGTGTGGGTATGGTGATGACACCAGGTCTATGTGGGTATGGTGATGACACCAGGTCTGTGTGAGTATGGTGATGACACCAGGTCTGTGTGGGTATAGTGATGACACCAGGTCTGTGTGGGTATGGTGATGACAC